GTTAAGTGTATTAGTGCTGTTGCTAGTTCAGTTACTTCATTCATCATCCAATTCTGACAGCTGCTTTCTAGATAAACTAATATTTGCTGTACTTCTTTCAATAGCCTTCTGATATACCCTGTCCCATCACATAAATAATAGAATAATAATTATTTTTATTATTTAAAAATTAATTTTACTCTTCTCCAATTATAAAGTAGTACTTGTTCATTGGAGAGAATTTGGAGAATACAGGAAAACATAGAAACTAAGGGAAAAAAATATAATCCCACTACCAGAAACAACCACTGTTACAATCTTGGGGACTTTTTTGTTTTTGTTTTCTGTCCTTTTCTGTTTTGTATATTTTATGTAGTTGAAACTTGATTACTATTATGATGTAAATATTCCCTAGACCCCCTGCCATTTTATTTTGAGACAGGATTTTACTCTGTTGTCAGGCTGGAATGCAGGGTGCAATCATGGCTCACTGCAACGTCAAACTCCTGAGCTCAAGGGAGCCTCCCAACTCAGCCTCCTGAGTAGCCGGGACTACAGGCGTTTGCTACTATGCCTAGCTAGTTTTCTATGTAACTTTTGTAGAGACAGAGTCTCCCTCTGTTGCCCAGGCTGGTGTCAAACTCCTGGACTCAAGTGACCTACCTGTCTTGGCCTCCCAAAATGTTGGGGTTACAGGTGTGAGCCACCACACCTGGCCAATTTTTTAAACTCTATAAATGCTTATTTACATGTATAAGAGTGTTTCTTAGAGCGGCAGCATTATTTGTGATGATGACAAATTAGGAAACAATATTCATTAGATGGTGAGTGGTTAAGCAAATCATGTCTGTCTTGTGGAATTCTGTGGAACGGCTGAAAATGAATGAGGTAAATCTGTGTACTGACATTAAAAGATTGCCTAGAAATATTAAATGAATCACACAATAATACAGCTGGTATGATCCCATTTTAGTAGAAGAAAATGAAACTGAACCATGCAGGTGTGCATATACATGTAAATAAATGGCTAGAAAAGTATCTAGAGAGAAACACATCCACCTCCTAGTAGTGTCTCACACTGGGAAGGGGACTGATTAGAATTGGGGTGGGTAAGAAAAGTGGTGAAGGGCAGGGATGTGAAGGGAAGATTTTGCCTTTTACACTATTTTCTGTTTGATTTTTTTTAAATGATGGGAATGTATTTCTGTATTAAATATGTAATCTTTAAAAGTAGAGGCCGGGCGCGGTGGCTCACGCCTGTAATCCCAGCACTTTGGGAGGCCGAGGCGGGCGGATCACAAGGTCAGGAGATCGAGACCATGGTGAAACCCCGTCTCTACTAAAAAATAGAAAAAAATTAGCCGGGCGCAGTGGCGGGCGCCTGTAGTCCCAGCTACTGGGGAGGCTGAGGTAGGAGAATGGCGTGAACCCGGGAGGCGGAGCTTGCAGTGAGCCGAGATTGCGCCACTGCACTCCAGCCTGGGCGACAGAGCGAGACTCCGTCTCAAAACTCCAGCCTGGGCGACAGAGCGACTCCCGCCCCCCAAAAAAAAAAAAAAAAAAAAAAAAAAAAAAAAAGTAGAAAAAACACTTTTTTTTTTTTTTGAGACAGATTCTTGCTCTGTCGCCCAGGCTGGAGTGCAGTGGTGCAATCTTGGCTCACTGCAAGCTCCGCCTCCCGGGTTCACGCCGTTCTCCTGCCTTAGCCTCCCCAGTAGCTGAGACTACAGGCACCCACCACCACGCCCGGCTAATTTCTTTTTGAATTTTTAGTAGAGATGGGGTTTCACCGTGTTAGCCAGGATGGTCTCGATCTCCTGACCTCATGATCCTCCTGCCTCGGCTTCCCAAAGTGCTGGGATTACAGGGATGAGCCACTGCACCCGGCCGAAAACACTTTTAATGTCTGCATACTTTGCTATGTTTATAAACCATAAAGTTATTTATCCAGTACACTAATTAGGAGTGTTTAGATGGTTTTCAGTCCTTTACCATTTTGAATGGTGCTACAGGGAATATCAGCTTCTTTGCCTAAGAAGCATTTTCTGTATTTTAGAATATGTTCTTAAGCTGGACTCTCAGGAATGGAATGACCAGATCAAAGGGTATAATGAGCATGTTGGAGGCTTGGGCTGTATTTCGCTAAATTGCTTCCCAGAAGACTTGTGTTGTTTGCCCCTCACCAGCAGTATGTGAAAATGCTCTTTGCCTTATCTCCTTTTCACTGGGGGGAGAGTTCATTCAAAAAGATATTTGTTTGTTGAATAATATTTGCTGTGGAGATACACTGTAGCTCCTCATTGTTGACTTAATGCATATTTCTTTGATTGCCAGGGAAGTGGAAGGTTTTCCCTGAAGTATATCATATCTTGCTCCTGGTCTTGTAAAATTTGTCTGTTCAGTTCAGGGGCTTTGCCTGTTTGGCCATCTGAATCTTACTAATTTTCCTTGTTGATTTGTAAAAGTTCCTTTTAAAGTGTTCCTTGTATAGAAAAGATATTTGGCTGGTTTTAAAACACATTTTTGTTTTCTTTTGACTTTTAATTTGGCTTATATATTTTTGCATATGGAAGTACAGCATCTGAAAGTATTAGGCTGTAAGGCTTTCCTGCTATGATTTCCTCCACTGTTTTATGTGTAGGAAGTCCTCTCCCCACTTCAGAGACTTGATAAGTATTCATTTATATTTTCTTCCACCACCAATCACTTTACAGACATTTGACTGGTCAAGCATTACCCTCCTAGCTTTTCCCCCACACTATCTTACAAATATATTGTGATTTGTTTTAGTTTTTGTTTTTGAGACAGGGTCTCACTCTGTCACCCAGGCTGGAGTGCAGTGGCATGATCACGGCTCACTGCAGCCTCGACCTCCTGGGCTCAGGTGATCTTTCTACCTTAGCCTCCTGAGTGTCTAGGACTACAGGCACCACCATGCCTGGCTAGTTTTGTGTATTTTTTGTAGAGACGGGATTTCTCCAACCGTCCGAGACTGGTCTCGAACTTCTGGGTTCAAGCAATCCTTCCACCTTGGTCTCCCAAAGTAGTAGGATTAAAAGTGTGAACCACCACACCCAGCCCTACAAATATATTTTGAAGATAAGAATTAAGCTCATTAAAAGGATGCCAGCATAGAATTTTGAGTGGTCCTTTAATCCCCAAATTTTGACAAGTTGTATTCTGCACCTTCATGGAGAATCGAGGTCATAACTGATGGGCAGCAGGAGGAGCACGTTCTGTTGCAGGTCCTGCCTCTAAGTCTCCTTCCCAGAGAAGAAAATGGTCTTAAACATGCCCTAGGTTTGTTCCACACCCTAGGTTTGTTTAGCAGGGAACTGGTTCATCACACAGTTAGCTCAGCCTCAGCTATATCATTTTAGCAGGGATCTGAGATTTGAAATCTTAAGAACCTCCATTTATCTCTTATGAACTCAAAACATTTCTGCCCTGCAAAAGATTTGAATAGACATTTCTCAAAAGAAGACACACAAATGGCAAACAGACATATGAAAAGGTACTCAGCATCATTGATCATCAGAGAAATGCAAATCAAAACTACAATGAGATATCATCTCACCCCAGTTAAAATGGCTTCTATTAAAAAGACAGGCAATGTCAAATGCTGTTGAGGATGTAGAGAAAAGGGAACCCTCATACACTGGGACGGGAATGTAAATTAGTATAACCACTATGGAGAACAGTTTGGAGGTTCCTCAAAACACTAAAAATTGAGCTACCATATGATCCAGCAATCCCACTGCTGAGTACACACCCAAAAGAAAGGAAATCAGTATATCAAAGAGATACCTGGACTCTTATGTTTGTTGCAGCACTGTTTACAATAGCTAAGATTTGAAAGCAACCTAAGTGTCCATGAATAGAGGAATGGATAAAGAAAATGTGGTACAGGTGGGGTGTGGTGGCTCACTCCTGTAATCCCAGTACTTTGGCAGGCCAAGGCTAGCTGATCACTTGAGGTCAGGAGTTCGAGACCAGCTTGGCCAACATGGTGAAACCCTATCTCTACTGAAAATACAAAAATAAGCTGGCATGGTGGTGCATGCCTGTAATCCCAGCTACTCAGGAGGCTTGAGGAGAATTGCTTGAACCTGGGAGGCAGAGGTTGCAGTGAGCTGAGATCACACCACTGCACTCCAGCTTGGGTGAAAGAGTGATACTCTGTCTCAAAGAAAAGAAAAGAAAACAAAACAAAACAACAAAGAAAGAAAGAAGAAAACGCAGTGCATACACACAATGGAGTACTATTCGGCCATAAAAAGAATGAGATCCTGTCATTTGCAACAACATGGATGGAACTGGAGATCATGTTAAGTGAAACAAACCAGGCACAGAACGACAAACATCACATGTTCTCACTTACTTGTGGGATCTAAAAATCAAAACAGTTGAACTCATGAACAGAGAGAGTAAAAGGATAGTTACCAGAGGCTAGGAAGGGTAGCATGAGCTGGCAGGGAGGTGGGGATGGTTAATGGGTACAAAAAACACAGAAAGAATGAATAAGACCTACTCTCTGATAGCACCACATGGTGACTATAGTTAATAATAACCTAATTGCACATTTAAAAATAATTTAAAGAGTGTAATTGGATTGTTAGTAATTCAAAGGATAAATGCTTGGGGGAGTGGATACCCCATTCTCCATAATGTGCTTATTTCACACTGCATGCCTGGACCAAAATATCTCATGTACCCCATAAATATATGCACCTACTATGTGCCCACAAAAATTAAAAATATTAATAAAAGACTTCTGCCTTGGAGTTGAGTACTTTTCCGCTGCTCCTGGAAAAGGGCCAGTATTGCTGATGTACTGGCGTGTTGCTGTGTGTCTTTTCAGGGGCCGCCGAGGGTGGAGGATGGCTTCTGCTTTTTTGGGGGGCAGAGAGTAGGGGACGGCTTCTGCATTTTCAGAACGATTTTAATGAGGAAAAACTCTTCCTCCTCCAGCAAGTACAGCAGCCCCCACTGGGAGCCACCATACTGTTTCGGGATTGGGGGCCCAGGATTTCTTGGCAATGAAGGTGAGGTGGCCGCTTCAATGTTTGAAGCTCAGTTATTGAGGCTGAACCAAAGAGTTGAAGACTGGAGCTCTCTCGAATGCCTGGTTTGGATTCTGGGATTCGCTTCTCTTAATGATCTTGCTTCTCTCGCAAAAACCTTGCAGATTTCTACATCCTCCTGTTGAACGTTTTTTGGGGAGCCGTGGCCGACGCGCCTCACACTGATGGCCACCAGGGGGAGCCCCACGCGCTTCCTCCTTCCCCTTGTGTTCCAGGGCGCACCTCAAAACGCTGACGTTCTCCTTCGTCCCTCTGGGGGCGCCCGAAGGGCCCTCGCAGAAGATGAGGTGCCTTTCCAGGCGGGCTTCTCGCGTGCAGGGCGTGGGAACAGTGCACCCCCGTCCTACCAAGCAGTCCCTTCCTCTTCATTTGCATTGCTCGCTCGTTACCTCTCATCGCGTCCGTCGTCTTATTTTTCAGTGAATTGGAGAACAGAACATTTTAAAATAGATTTTTCTAATATTCCAGAAGGTCAAACACCTTTCTGCAAAATATCTAGCATGCTAAAGGGGAAGTAATTTTACATGTCTGGGGAAGGTACCATGTTTGCGTTAGAAAGGAGCTCTTCTATTGTACTAAAGACTCCCAACAAACCTCTTGAACTCTTCAGCCTGAATTGAAAATGTGTCAATGTTTTCAAAAAATCTGAGGCCTGGAAGCTAGAGCCTCAGTTCCCTCGCCTGCCATTTGTAGAAGCCTTATAGGGGGTATCTGGGGTCTTTGAAGAAAAACACTTTCTAAGAAGGCTATTTTGGTTTGCTTGCTCATACAAAAGACAGTGGTTCTGAAAGTGAGGAATGCCATTGTGAGGGAAGCTATTCAACATTAAGAATGGCCAATATCTTTTTTTTTTTTTGTCTTTTGAGATGGGGTCTTGCTGTGTTTGTTGCCCAGGCTGCAGTGCAGTGATGGATCATAGCTCACTGCAGCCTCGAACTCCTGGGCACCACTACACCCGGCTACCTTTTTTATTTTTTGTAGACACAAGGTCTCATTATGTGCCCCAGGCTGGTCTCGAACTCCTGGCCTCAAGAGCTCCTTCTACTTTGACCTTCCAAAGCACTGGAATTACAGGCGTAAGCCACAGTGCCCGACCACCGATATCTTTTTTTTTGTTTTTTTGAGACAGGGTCTCACTCTGTCACCCACTCTGGAGTGCAGTGGCGTGATCACTGCTCACTTCAGCCTCTACCTCCCAGGCTCAGCTGGTCCTCCTACCTCAGCCTCCCAAGTAGCTGGGACTGCAGGCACACACCACGATGCCCAGTTAGTTTTTTTTGTAGAGATGGGGTTTCACCATGTTGCCCAGGCTGGTCTCAAACTCCTGGGCTCAAGCAATCTGTCCACCTCAGCCTCCCAAAGTGCTGGGATTACAGGCATGAGCCACCATGCCTGGCTGTATCTTTATATGTGATATATAATCTGGTGGGAGAACTCAACATAGAATTCTTTAAAAGGACAGATTGGATATTAACATAACTACTGCTAAGTGGATCTAGATCTAACACCCATTTCTCATTCCATTTCTGATGATAAAACACTTATGAAAGACAAGACATTGGAAGTTAAGACTGTCAGTTTATTTTGCCTCTGCCTCTATCCTAACATTTTTTCAGAGGAGTAAATGGAAGGGACTTGCTTTAAATTGAGTACAAGAAATAACTATTTTAGCAAAGTTGCCTGATCCGCTTATCAGTGGAATAAACCAGGAAGGAGAGAATTCTGATAAGCTCTTTCATCATGACTATGTTGGAATGTCTCATCCCTCTGTCAGTTGCTTTGGCTTGAGCTTCTGATTCAGAGAGCTTGAAAGAGTGAGACTAAGAAGGAAATTCTTCTCACAGAGAAGCTCAGAGCCGGCCAATCCTTGGCTGCAGAGAAGGAGGAGCTTTCAGAGTTTGCTGGTTCCAAGTTTTTTTCTGTTACTTACATTTAAAGCTGGAACAGAAGGTCAAAAACCAGGAAGGAAAACAGTATCAAGATATCAAGTCATGGTATTCTTTTTCATTCTTTCAGAAAAGAATTCACAAGAGACGAGGAAGCTTTTTTATTTTTATTTTGTTCTGTTTATTTATTTATTTTAAGATGGAGTCTCACCCTGTTGCCCAGGCTGGTCTCAAACTCCTGGGCTCAAGTGATCTAACTGCTTTGGCCTCCCAAATTGCTGTGATTACAGGCGTGAGTCACTGCACCTGGCCAGTTTTTTTGTTTGTTTGTTTGGTTTTTTTTTGTAGACAAGGCCTTGCTCTGGAGTGCAGTGGCGTGCTCACAGCTTACTGCAGCCTTAACCTCCCAGCCTCAAGCGATCCTCCCACCTCAGCCTCCTTAGTAGCTAGGACTACAGGTGTCACTACCATGTTCAGCTAATTTTCGTATTGTTTGTAGAGACGGAGTTTCACCATGTTTCTCAGGCTGGTCTCAAACTCCTTGGCTCAAGCAATTTGAGGAAGCTTTTCATTAGAGTCTAAAAACACATATTTGAAATTGAATGACGTAGGGTTGACACTAGTCTGGGAATTAGGAAAATACGATTTGCGTGTTAGTTCTGGTGTGATCTAGAGAGCCCCTTAACCTCCTTGGAACTAGATTTCCTCCTCTGCATAGCAAGGCTCCCCTGTGCTTCCCCGTGGGAGACAAGAATCACATCACTGGCATGTTTTCCTCTCCCCTTTGGCTGCCAGGAAACTCAAGAGTCAAATTCAAGGCTTTATTGAAGGAACTCTGCAGGACCCAGGACATGATATCTTGATACTGTTTTCCTTCCTGGTTTTTTACCTTCTGTTCCAGCTTTCATTTTCCCCAATTATAGCATTTTATTATTTTTCATATTTAGTATGTAGTGCACATTTTTACACTACACTTCTAATCCTTTGTGTAATGATCATGGTATAAATAAATGGCGAAATGAGGAGGTCACACTTAAATGAGTTTCAGGGGCCTTTCCAGTCCCAATTTTCTAGGATTCTTAAGGGGAAAAAGTAATTTTACATGTCTGGAAGGTTCCAGGTTTGCACAGAAGGGAACTCTCCTATCGAGAGTCCTGAAGACTTCAGCAAACCTCCAAGGAGGCCTATCCAGGATGTTCTCCTCCGTCTGTAAAGGAGAAAGCACTTTGTGCTAATTTAGGGAAAGATAGCTTTTCTGTTGGGATTTCAGACTTGCCCTGCTTGAAATTGGTGGGGAAATACCTGTCTGGGATGGGGCTCAATAATCTGCAGCTGTATTAGGAAATGCCAGTAGTTTTGATGTGGGTGGTTTCAAGATACATTTGGAAAATGTGAGGGAAATGTGTATGTGCATTTGCTGGGCGGGGGACTGTGCTATCCCTGCCCCGGAACCCTAATCCACAGCTTGATTCTGGTCCTTTTGCCCTCTGTCCCTCACCAGAACCCTGATATTTCCAGATGAAAGCAAGAGTATAGCTTATTTCCACAACTCACCTGGGCCCAGCAATCAAGATCTGTAGCTCTAGGGAAGTATCGAGTTGATTATGAAGTATATAGGTCAAAATGAGTAGCTTGCTGGATTTAACCAGGTAATTCGTGCCATACTTTTCTCTTTGGGAAGACCTGTACCAACAGTCACCTCTTGTAAACACTTTTGCTTTTTTAAACTTGCAGGTACTTTTTTGGGGCCGTCTTTGGCTACCTGTCTGTTGTGAGTTTATTTTCTTTACAGTCCCTCTACCTGGGTTTAGTCTCATTTGGGAATGAGAAATTTTATTTTAATGCATTAAGTAATAGTGTTGAGTGGCCAACAAATGTGAAGTTTGAAAAGCTCAAATGAAAAAAAAGTGTGATAGAAACACAGCATTGGGGGCTGGGTGCGGTGGCTCACACCTGTATTTCCAGCACTTTGGGAGGCCAAGACAGAAGGATCCCTTGAGCTCAGGAATTTGAGACCCCTGCACAACATGGCAAGACCCCAAGACCCCATCTCTACAAAAAAAAATATAAAAATCATCCAGGTATGATGCCCTGCACTTGTAATCCCAGCTACTTGGGAGGCTGAGGTGGGAGGATTGCTTGAGCCCGGGGTAGGTTGAGGCTGAAGTGAGCTGTGATTGATCTACTGGACTCCAGTCTAGGTGACAGACCCAGACCCTATCTCAAAAAAAAAAAAAAAAAAAAAAAAGAAGAAGAAGAAGAAGAAGAACACAAGGTTAGAATTTGAGAGGGCCTATTAAACAGGATGCTCTTTCCTGCTTTAGTTTTGAATTAATTGAGAAGATAAAATAATAAGGCATGGAGATTACAGCATCCCCTTTCTTTTTTTCTTTTTTCCTTTTTTTTTTTTTTTGCTCTTGTTGCCCAGGCTGGAGGGCAATGGCACCATCTTGGTTCACCGCAACCTCCGCCTTGCGGGTTCAAGCAATTCTCCTGCCTCAGCCTCGCGAGTAGCTGGGGTTACAGGCATGCGCCACCATGCCCGGCTAATTTTGTATTTTTAATAGACACGGGGTTTCTCCCTGTTGGTCAGGCTGTTCTCAAACTTCCCACCTCAGGTAATCCACCTGCCTCGGCCTCCCAAAGTGCTGGGAATACAGGCATGAGCCACCAGGCCTGGCAGAATCCCCTTTCTTATTGATAAAGCAGATCTTGGAGAATGGGAGATCCTGAGTGGGGTTCCTAATGATAGACTTCAACATCATGCTGAGGCTCCCCTTGTCCTCAAGAAATGGGCAGTGCTGGCCTGAGGTGGATCCTCCTCTGTCCAGGGCTCAGCTTATCCTTGGAAGGCTTAGCACATGGAGGAGCTGTTCCAGGCTAAGAGGAAGGGGCTGGGCTACTCTGTGGGGGTGGTTCTTCCAGTTTCTCCAATCAGATGAGCCTCACTGTCACTCTAGTGTTGAAAGGAAGGAAGAGACAGAGGTGGCCAGGAGTGTGACCCTAAAAGAGGCAGAGGAAACCTCAGAGAAAGGGAAGAAGCATTCTGCTAACCAGAGGGAGAAGGATAGAGGCCTCAGTTCTCCCTCTCTGGGAATTAATTTGAGATTTGCATTTAGTGTCTATAAACATGTCAGGAGATATATAAACTTATTTGCTTTTGTTTTGTTTCCATTTTTAGATTCTTGAGTATCAGAACACCACCTTCTTTGGTGGAACCTGTACATCCATGATTGATTACCTCCTCTGGCCCTGGTTTGAGCGGCTGGATGTGTATGGGATAGCGGAGTAAGACATTTGACCTTGTGTTGGTAAATTCCCAGAGTCACACTGAGTAACACTGCTTAAGATGGTCTGCGTGCCCCCTGTAGACATGTTTCAGAATGTCTGTGAAGCGAATCAGGTTTCTAAACCCGAGTGTGTGCTTCCTTGTTAAAAACACATGTGCTTTTCCACTGCTAACTCAGACTCACACTTTGCCCACATTTCTGCAGATAAGATCCCTAGTCCAGGAGCCTCCCACAGACTTCAGAACCTGCTGTCCTCACCAGCGCCCCCACATGGCCGGTCTGAGAGCTGGTGGAGAGTCACAGTCACAGTGCCCAGTGCTTCCACCTGGTCCTGCCGGGTCCCCAGTGGACACCATATACCTTAGTCACATCTCCTTGCCCGGACGAATCTTCCCCCAGATAGTAATAACCTTATAAAAAAGATCTGTGTACTTGGTGTTGGAACATACAAACAAAATGGCAATGAACACTATGGAAGTATGGAAGTGCAGGGACGTTAAAGGAGAAGAAATAGCTGTGTAGGCTCCTGGGCAGAACAGTGAGTGCTCTGTTACTTCAAAGCTCAGAGAAGTTGGACGTGTGCAGACGCCCATCCTAATCCAAACCACTCTCATGGTGGGTGCTGGACATTTCTGGCACTTGGAAATCCGGCCCTGCTGGAGCAGAACTGTGTTTGCACCTTCATAACCCGTGGGCTGGAGCCCACCCAGGCACTGTCTCCTGCACTTCCGACTTCAGCTCTCTTTGAAGGAGATTAGATATGACATATCAGGATATTTAAAACTCAGTCTCAAACATAAAATTTACAAAAGGCGGTATCCTCTGAAGACAGAGCATGGAATCACAGGTTAGGAAACCTCACTTCTAGTCCTGGATTTCCCACAACCCACTCGTATTATCTTCAGCTTGTCGCTTTATAAACCCCAGAACTAAATGTCCTGGTGGATCCTTGAAAGAGCCCTGTCAACTCCATGATTTCAAGGTTTCATTATTGTTTTATTCATTTTAAGCATGTTTTGGAAATTATTTGTCTTTATTTTTTTCTATCCTCTAAAGTAAAATCTGAGAATGACCCAATAATGTTTGTTTCAGAGGGTTGTCTTTTTGTTGGCAAACAGTGAAGCACATGTAAGTTTCTCAAGCTTTAAAAATATATATATATTAAAAAACAAAAAAACCCAATGACGCACAGACATGTTATTTTCCCAGAGCCATCAGTCCAAAGTATTTCACTGTTATTATTAGAAGCAACAACAACTTCTACACATTCGACTTTTCCAAAAATAAGATTTTCCTCCAGTAAGTTATCATTCTCACTTGATAGTAAGATAACTGAGATAATTCCCCAAATAAACCCATTTTTCATATCTTGCAAATCTAAAAAGCAATGGGCATCCCCTTTCCTGATGCCTCCCCCTGTGCTGTGCTGACGCTTTTTTCCTGTCTTGCAGCTGTGTGAGCCACACGCCAGCCCTGCGGCTCTGGATCTCAGCCATGAAGTGGGACCCCACAGTCTGTGCTCTTCTCACGGATAAGAGCATTTTCCAGGGCTTCTTGAATCTCTATTTTCAGAACAACCCTAATGCCTTTGACTTTGGGCTGTGCTGAGCCTCACCGTCCACCCCTTCACCGTCCGGAATTCCCCAGCTTGTTGGGAGTTTACATCACGGATTGTCTTGGGAATCAATCTGTCTCACTTTCTTTTCTTTGAAGTTCCCAATAAAATGCAAACAGGAAATGTATTCTTCTGATAATCATTTATCTGACTCCTCTAACCCACAGCTGCCGCTGCTTCTTCTTTTTTATTTTTATTTTTTGAGACAAGATCTTGCTTTGTTACCTAGGCTGGAGTGCAGTGGGGCAGTCACGGCTCACTGCAGCCTCGAACTCCTGGGCTCAGTTGATTCTCCCGCCTCAGCCTCCTGAGAAGCTAGGACTACAGGTACGCGTCACCATGCCCAGCTAATGTTTTTTAAAAAATATTGTTGAGACAGGGTCTCACTATGTTGCTCAGGCTGGTCTCCAACTCCTGGTCACTTCGGGTCATCCACCCAACCTGGTCTCCAAAGTGTTGAGATTACAGGCATGAGCCACCTGCCCTGCCTGGTCTGTAGCTTCTAACTGCTTTCTAGAAAGTTCCTGGTGCTAATGTCAGAGCACATTTTGGGAGCCTGTGTGCCTCCTAACTCCTTGGCCTTCAGCCTCGTTTGATCTCCAGATTATTGGTGCAGATGCTGCTGCTGAGGTTCAGGGTCAACCTATGATTGATGCTTGTCACTACAGATTGGCACCCTCCAAAGACCTCCCTGGTGGAAACTTAAGAAGAGGGAGAAGGAAGAAGAAAACACTCCAAGCCCAAATACCTTCCATTTGGCAAATGAATGCCGCTGTCCACGTGGGCGAGCATGAGTGTAATTCTCCAAACTTTGGCCATGGGCCTGGAGACACTGAGGGTCTTGTGACTGGAAAGAATTCCAAAGCAGGAAATGAAACACCGATTTATCACCCAGGACTAACTACGTCAGAATTTCACTGGTGCTGTCAGGGCTCAGGATGTCTCACAAAATGTTCTATAGCCAGCATCCTGCCTTAAAAAAATACACCCCAAACCCAGCCATAAGCAAAGGTCATTCCATTGGATTTGCGTCACACTCTCTGCCAATTCCTCTCAACAAATGCCTCTGGTTACCTGTTGTGTACCAAGCCCAGGGGCACACTGGGGATAAAGTTGAAAAAGACACTGGATCTGTCCCTGGGAGCCCCCATCTCTTCACTTACCTTGGTTGAGGTTTTGAACCTAGTGCTTTGGAGCTGCTTGTCTGGTGTGGGGATGCTTGTCTGTGATGGGGCCCCTCTGCCAGCTTCGCCAGGCAGTACCACCCCACTGAAGACAGCAAAGAGCTGAGGGTGGCTGGTGCCAACAGGTCCCATGGGCTGGGAGCATCTACTGCCTCACTGTGGGAGGGGGACCAAGTGTGTCCAGTGCTGTTTCATCTCAGTGTCTGAGGATCAGCCTGTGATCGTTTCAGCTTTGCTCACGCTAGATGCTTTCCCATCCTCCTAGCTGTGCGGAGACACCAGGCAGCAACAGGAGCGATGTTTTGCCTTGTCTGTGCCCCCCAAAGGAGCTGTCTGCCGCCTCTGCCTCTGAGACAGCCCAAACCAGCCCTCCTCTTTCCCCACGTCTCAGCCTGGCTCTGCCATCTGCTGGCTCCGGGTGTATTTTGACCCATGTAAATAGTTACCAGGTGTTACTCTGTGCCAGCTGGACAGAAGCAAGCCTGCTTGGTGAGATGGCCAGAACTTCCAGAAGAGGCACCGCGTGACAGGGGCAGTCTGCCGCACCATCTGCTCCGGATGTGGAGCCCTGTTGCCATGGCACCCGAGCTAATGCTGAGTGAGGTCTGTGAATCACCGTTTCCCTGGGATCTTTGCTCAAAAAGAGGGGAATCTTCTCCTGTGGCCTCTCGTAGGACTTAGGAGATTGATCAGCCTTTTGCCGGTACAAATGCTGCATGCTAGTGAGTGCTTGGCGTAAGACCAAAGTTACTACTGATGCAACAGGAAGTGGCATGCCTCTGGCTCACCAAAATGAAGGTGTTCTCTTTTGGGGCTCCATGCACTAATTTAGAAAGCTTGAAGAACCAGGAATTATAGAATGGAGAAAAGCACTCATGGGGGAGGTTTGCAGCCTGGTGGCCTATAGCCCAGTTTGGGATTTGTGTGCCTCTTGGCCAGGCATGGTCCCTGCGGTTTACCAGGGTCCTGGTCACCTGCACATCCTTACACTTCCTCCATCTCACTTCTTTGTCACTCATCTGACCCACAGAGAAAACTGAGTTGTCAATCTTTGAATAAAACTAGAAGGATGTGGCCTGGAGGAAAGAGGGAAGGAGGTAACTAAATAATGCTCCATGAAGGACTTTTAAAATATGCTTCTTAAATAAATAATACATGTGGAAAGATAATACATATGGATTAAAAATGCAGTAATGTAAAAGAATAGAAAATCTTCCATTATCTTATGTCCCAGAGATAACCACTTTTAGTAATTGGTGTCTACCTTTTTTTTTTTCCTTTTCTTTTAAATAATAGAGATGGGGTCTCGCTATGTTGACCAGGCTGGGCTCAAACTCCTGGCTTCAAGTGATCCTTCCATCTTGGCCTCCCAAAGTGCTGAGATTATAGGTCTGAGTCACCATGCCTGGTAGGTGTCTATCTTATAAAAAGCACTACACTTAAGGATTTAAAGGTAAGAGCCTGTATGAGGCCATTCTCATGCTGCTATAAAGAACTGCCCAAGACTGGGTAATTTATAAAGGAAAGAGGTTTAATTGACTCACAATTCCACATGACTGGGGAGGTCTCAGGAAACTTTCAATCATGGTGGAAGGGGAAGCAAACACGTCCTTCTGCACAAGGTGGCAGAAGAGAGAAGTACAGAGCCAAGGAGGGAAAAACTCCTTATAAAACCATTAGATCTCGTGAGAACTCACTCACTATCATGAGAACAGCATAAGGAAAACACCCCCACAATCTAATCACCTCCCTCGAGGTCCCTCCTCCAACATGTGGGCATTGTAATTCAGATTAAAATTCAAGATGAGATTTTGGGTGGAGCACAGCCAAACCATATCAGAGCCATTCTCTATCTTTTGCAGATTGGAAAAAGAAAAAAAAATAGTTTAAACCACAGCATTTAAAAGAAGTCGTTGTCATAGATGATGTTAACATCAGAATGGAGGTTGTGTGGAGTTCCCCTCCTTGGAGGTTCTGAACTACAGCCTATCCTGGACTGAGTCCAGTTACAATCTAACATGGCTAGGGGGAGGAGGGAGCATGATGGAGCTGGGCTTGTGTGGCTGGGACAGCTGGCTGTGGTCGTGGTGCTGGTGCTGGAGACTAAGTGGTACTTGAAATTTCTTTTAGATCTAAAATTCTGTGATATGGTTTGGATCTGTGACCCCACCAAATTTCTTGTTGAAATTAATCCCCAGTGCTGGTAGGAGGTGATTGGATCATGAGGGCAGATTTTTCATGAATGGTTTAGCACCATTCTCTTGGTGCTGTTCTCATGATAGTAAGTTCTCATGAGATCTGGTTGTTTAAGTGTGCAGCATCTCCCTGACCCCTCTTGCTCCTGCTCCCACCATGGGAGATGCCCGGCTCCCCCTTTGCCTTTTGCCATGAGTGGAAGCTTCCTGAGGGCTCTCCAGAAGCAGAAGCTACTATACTTCTCGTACAGCCTGCAGAACCATGAGCCAATTGAATCTCCTTTTAAAAAAACTTTAAGTTCGGGGTACATGTGCAGGATGTGCAAGTTTGTTACAGAGGTAAACATGTGTCATGGGGTTTGTTATACAGATTATTTCATCACCCAGATATTAAGTCTAGTATCCATTAGTTATTTTTCCTGATCCTCTCCCTCCTCCCACCCTGCACCCTCCAATAGGCCTCAGTGTGTGTTGTTACCCTCCATATGTCCATTGTTCTCATCATTTAGCTCCCACTTATAAGTGAGAACACGCAGTTTTTGTAAACCTGTTTTCTTTATCAATTACCTAGTTTCAGGTGTTTCCTTTTAGCAGTGTGAGAACAGACTAATACAGAAAATTGGTACTGAGGAGTGGGGCATTGCTATAAAGATGCCTGAAAACGTGGAAGTGACTTTGGAACTGGGTAATGGGCAGAGGTTGGAAGAGTGTGGAGGGCTCCAAAGAAGACAGGAAGATGAGGGAAAGTTTAGAATTTCCTAGAGTCTGGTTGTATAGTTATGACCAAAATGCCAGTAGTGATATGGACAGTGAAGGCCGGGCTGAGGAGGTGATGGAAATGAGGAGCTTATTGAGAACTGGAGCAAGGGTCACTTTTGTTATCCTTTAGCAAAGAGCTTGGCTGCATTGTGCCCCTGGCCTGGGGACTTGTGGAACTTTGAGCTTGAGCGTGATGATTTTAGGGTATCTGGCAAAAAAAATTCGAAGCAGCAAAGCATTCAAGATGTGCCCTGGCTGCTTCCAACAACCTATGCTCATATGTGTGAGCAAAGAAAAGACATTAAGTTGGAACTTATATTTACAGGGGAAGCAGAGCATAAATGTTTGGAGAATTTTCAGCCCCCTATGTGGTAGAAAAGAAGAGCCCATTTTCAGGGGAGGAATTCAAGCAGGCTGCAGAAATTTGCATAAGTAAAAAGAAGCCAAGTGCTAATAGCCAAGAAAATGGGGAAAAGGCCTTGAAGGCATTTCAGAGACCTTTGTGGCAGCCCTTCCCATCACAGACTCAGAGGCCTAGGAGACAGAATGACTCCGAGTATTAAAGTAGATTTAATCTAAATCATAAAGTACAAGCTAGAGTATTCCCTCCAGTGCTGCAAAGACTGCCTGCATGTGGTTCCCACATTGTTCCTTGGAGCTTTGGTGGTGGGAGTGGTAGGCAGGGCAGGTGTTATTTTTCTTGGTTTCTCACCTTCAGGTTTCCTTACCCATGTTTCTTTTGTCAGAGTCATTGGCCTTGATGGAGGGGGGACTGGGTTACTCTGAGTTGAGAACCAAGCTTGACTCCCCTGTGGTTTATATCAGCCTAGCTTAGTTTGTTGTCTGAAGTCTTCACAAATAACCAAATATCCAGTCCAATGCAGTTCTCATTGAGTAATCTCCAGTTCCCACCCCCCGCCACACACACACACTGAACACTGTGCCCACTTGGGAGACCCATTTCCCATTTATTGTCATCTGTGAGTGCCTGGAAGGCTGAACATTTGATCTTTTCAAACATTTTGCTCTCATCTGACCTGTTAGAGCTCTTGAGCCTTTGAAAATGCCATTTCCTCTACATACTATTCTTCCTCTGAGCAGCCCTCTGTTTTTTTTCCCAACCAGTCTTTTCTCTTGCAAAGTTCAGATCAAAATTCTTCTTTATGTAAAGAGAAGTGGTGTGCTATAGGGGTTACAAACAGGGCTTCAAGGTCAGCGTTGGGTTCAAATTCCAGCTTTGCAACTTAAGTTTCTTGAGTAAGTTGCTTCACCTCTATCAGACTCAGTTTCTTATCTGTAAAATGGGACTGCTTAGTACCTATTTCACAGGGCTGTTAATTAATGATGGGCTCATCTATGCAAGGGCTTAGTATCAGCTGGGTGAAACTCAGTGAATGGCAGGCAACCTTATTATGATGAGGCTTCTGTCAGTGATCAGACTTGAACCCTGTGCTCATCCCCCCATCACTCTGTGGAACTAGATGTCCTACATTGCATATGGCTTGATTCATGGTTTGGAGTTGTTTCCTGGTGTTTCCTGTGTGCAGGTTTAATCTCAACCTGTGATCCCTTGAAAGCTGTGATTTTATCCCTCCCCCTCCTCCTCCCTCACACCCCAAGGCCAAGTTTAATACTGCACATTCTGAAATCTTGCAATGTTGTTAATGATGTAAGATAAATATTCTCTCCCGTGTTTCTAAAGAATACTCAGAATCTCACTACTCTCTGTTAAAGAAAAAAATCATTCACTGACACTTGTTTAAAGCATGTGAAGGAAGAATTACTCATAACCATTGCGATAGGTACAGGGACCACTGCAATGAGACTTTTGCAGTGGGGGAGGGAGATTGGGCTCAACTCTGAGTACAGGATGAACAAGTGGGTAAATTTATAGCCCAGGAGTAGAGCAGAGGTCAGTGGATTGAAAATTACTCGGAGGAAACATCAGGGATAAGGAGGATTCTGGCTAAACTGACCTAACAGGATTCTTGCTGAAGACAGGCCAGGATGATCAGACATCACCTGTCGGATGGCGGAGGACAGGGACTTGATCAGATATCAAGGATGATCTGATATTGAGGTGGGGAAGTTCTTTTGCCAAACTAACTTAGCAGGGTTCTTTGGTAAAACAATTTTACCTTTTACAAGGACATACACAGATGGACCTAGGAGGAGGTTCAGGAGCCTGACTAAAGTTTAGTTAAGCAGAGAATCTTTGTCTCTTCTTGGAGCAGGTTATCTGTTTCCGAGGGTTAAAATGTGAGGGATTTGAAATGCTTGCAGGCCTGCCCAGTTACCAAGCAGCTCGGATGCTGAATGGAACGCTAAAGTGCCCCCATACCATGCTGCGCACAGACAGGATGGTTACACACGTGCTCCAAGGACAAGAACTGTGTAATACTCTGCCCTGCCATTTCCTCCCAAGGATCGCCGCAATGCCCACGAATCCCCTTGCAGACAGCAAGGATCTCCGGCCTACTTTGTCATTAGCAAACAGCCCCTCCAGAGGGAGCAGTTGACCAGCAACAGTCAGCTCCCCGCCAGAGGAGCCAATATGAAGAGCCATTTCCAGACCTGCCCTGCAGCTGAGATGGACAAAGCAATGGAGGTAGCGGTTGCTTAGTGATGCTGCTGCCCCCCAGAGAACCCTCAGTAGGGGCAGCCTCTGTTCCAGCGTCACAGGACTGGAGAACCCTGAGTAGGGGGAGCCTCTGTTCCAGCGTCACAGGACTGGGGGAAGGAAGTGGGAGGATGACTGTTAGCAGGAACAGGCGTTGCTAAATCTGGGCATAGTCTTCAGGTTATGCTCACAGGTGAAGAAAATCTCTCAAAGGGTGAGAGATTTTGTGTGTGTGCGCGTGTGCATGTGTGCGTGTGTTTACATGTTTTTGTGCCTTTCTGCCGTAAGAGGAGAGTATCAGGATGAATAATGAGGAGCTGTATAAGAGATAAGGGTGGGAGGTATTTTAAGTATTTCACTTAATGGTTGTTGGCCATTTATTTGTTAAACAGAAAGACCCTCTTTGGGGACTTTATCTGAGACACTGTCCCAGGTGATCTGATAGCAGCAGGGAGGTGGAGAGGTGGGGACACACAGACATCAGGTACAATGGCAGCAGGGGCTGCTTATCCTGGAAGCCAGGGAAGGGTTAGCTGAGGAAACTGCAGGAAGCCCTAACCGGAAACTCGGGCTTCAGCCTTGGGTTTTGGAGGAGGGAATGTAGGGTAGATTCAGAACAACAGTAAACCTTCTGTTTACTGAGCACTTACTATATGCTAGGTGCTTTACATATATTACTAATATCTCCAAACCTTATGAGGTAAGTACCAATTACTCCCATTTTACAGATCAGTAAACCGAGATTTAGAAGTGGAGTCGCCTGCCCAGGTGTTGCATAGCTAGTGATGAACAGAGCTGAGGTTTGCTTGCGGGAGGCTGACTCTGGAGCCTGTGCTCTTAACCTCTGCCCTGCTCGGCCTCCCCACTGCCAGCACTACCTCGCCTCCTGCCCTTGCTGCCTTCCTC